GATGATGATGAGGTTGCTGAGATTGAGTAGGAGAATGATGATGATGATGGTGACGGCGATGATGATGAACATGACGATGTTTTTTATTTTCGCTAGTGGAATCGTTATTGATTGTTTTGGAATGATGTTTTGATCGATGTGTTGAAGCATCAAAAGTTATAGTTAGGTTATTTGAATCTTGCGATGGTTTCTCTGTCATAGATTGAACAGAATGATCATTCCTATCGTTTTCAGTCTTAAGTTTTTGATGTTGTTGCAAACTTCTTTGTTTACTGGGCCGATTCAAACGTTCTATATTATCAGCATCGTCCAAAAGTGTATGTTGTTTAGGCAATGATTTTTGTTGTTTATAATTTTCATGCGATACTGAAGGTGATGATGATGATACTTTCGGAACTGGTTCATAACGTTGTTGATCTGGATTATTTTTCATGATAGATGTGCCATGGTTATTATGATGAGACTTTCGATGATGTTGACGTGGTGTAGTTGGTGACTTTGTTAATGCAGGCTCTTGAGCATATTGTGAAGGATCAATTGGATCATAAGGTATAAGTTGACCATCAGTAGTTTGACGATGACGCATGTTCCAATCAGGATTTTTCATTTTATAATAATGCCAATAAGGATAATAGTTATCATTCATTGCATTGGATTTTGTTTCAGGTAATGAAACGAGATTTCCTTGACCTGGTGGTGCTTTACGAAAAGTTTTTCTTCTTTTTTTTTCTTCCTTTCGTGCATTATTAAATTGAGTAGCAAGTGGTATACCGTTTTCTGGTAAATCATTATAAGGATATCGAAGAGTATGAGGTTCCTTTATTGGTAGATTGGTACGTGGTAATGGTGATGTTAATAATTGTTTATTATTTGGAATAGATGTTTGATTATTTTCACGTAATGATACAAGAGAAGACTTTTCTGATATGTAAGTACTTTGATCATCATTAAATAATGGTTTTTCATTGGATTTTGGTGCATCCCAATTAGTTAAATGTTCTTTTTTCAACTGATACGTCATAGATTTTATTGTTAAGTTAAAAAAATGAATGTAACAATACTCTTCCTTGAATCAATCCGATTTTTTTTGAGTGGAATAAATCAGCATCAACATCATGTGTCGCTTGACGATGCATGCAAAACGTTATTTAGAATAACAGAACGTAAATGCAAACAGTAGTTAAATCAACATGACAATAGTATCATACTTAAGAACACAAGATGAAAGCTGATTGCAGTTAAGTTGTAAAAAAGAAAAAGAAGTGAATTCATACAAGTTTACATCGAGATTTGATAGAGCTGCATCGTAATATATATATATATTTAACAAGTTTAATGGAGGTTTTCATGTTTGCTCTAAATTTTGTTTGAATAACTTATCTAACTTTTTGTACAAGTCAATGATACATAAATTATCGAACAACTCTTCATGTAATTTTAGTATCTTTTCATCAGTACTTTTTTGATTTATCGAAAAAGAAAGACGAGTGCAACTATTTATGGTAGATCAAAAACGTAGATTTTTTTCCTTTCTTTAGTCTGTGTTGCATGAAACGTGTGCAACTGTTCTTTTTGTTGTTATTTTGAAGCGATACAAATGAGGTCATATTTTATTTAATGTTGGTTTCTTGCCAATCATTTTACTATACAACATCTGCGCAGTGAAAGCTTTTAGTTCAAACTTTGTTTTTTTTAGCACTAGTAGCTGTTAAGAGGAATTGAAGTATTTTTTTTTCTTTCTAGATAATAATAAAAAATAATGTTGGAAGGAAACAATAATCGTCAAGCAAGATTGTCATTAAAAGATGTTTCTTTTGAACTTTAACAAAAAATTGTTGATCTTGATGGAAAACCTGATCTTAATCTTTATAAAATCTTATCAAATAATCCAACACTTCTTTCACCTTGGATTGATTTTGCTTATTCATTGCGACGTAATTGTACAACATTCATAGCAACTTCGTGAATTAATGATTCTTCGAAGTACACAACTTTGTAATTCACAATATGAATGGTTTACACATGAACAAATGGCAAAACAATGTGGTATATCAATAGAAAAGATTGATTCAATTAAAGAATATGCAAAAAAAGTCTCTGTTTGATGAAAAAGAAAAAGTGGCACTTGAATTAATGGAATCATTAATTCAAAAAGAAGGAATGATCAGTGAAGAATTCGATAAACAATTTTAAAAAAACATTTTTGCAGAAACTGAATATTTATAATTAATTTTGACAGAAAGTTTCTATATGAAGATACCAACAGTATTGAAAGCATTACAAATTTCAATCGAAAACTAAAACCTTACTTTGTAGCTTCCATTTGAATTATGATTATAATAAGCCTTTCTTGCACAGTTAGATTGATGTTTATGATTGTTCATTCTATGTAAAAGACATCTATAATCAACGTCACATCGTAAATTCATAAAGATTCAAAAACGAACTAACAGAAATAGTGTTTTCATTATCTACTGATTCTATACAATTTGTACTTGATAACGGAAAATCATAATCTCACTAAAACCATTGTTAAGAAAGACTTCCTCGTGCTAAACTCCCCCCTATATGGTGTTCTCAATAGGAGTTACTAAAATGCAAATCTAGGACAACTAATTTCACTATACTATATTTCTCTTTTGAAAACTAAAGAAATACATTGGGTTTTATCACTGAACAATGTGGATAATTCTAAATAAAGTGTCTTGTACTAAATGAAGGCGTGAATGTGAGTTCAAAGAGGAGAAACATCCACACTCTCAAAAAGAAACTATTAAACAATCACTTCTATTGATTTCGACTTTCGTCAAGATGAATATGTGGTCACTTATAAATTAACGCAATCTATGAATTAACCATCAATTAATTCTTAATAAAAATAAATTATTCAGAATAGTCACTCAACAAAAAAAATACATAATGCAATCCAATGGTAAAACAAACAAATAACATGGCAAACAGATGCAAAAACATTTCATAGCAATAAACTAAAGCTATCAATCTATGACTAGTATCTGAAATTTGGAATTTTGGTAAACGATGGAATTCATAGTAAAAAAAAGGACGTTTTCCAAAGATTATTCGTTGTAATATTGGCTATCAGTTTTTGATTATATTAGTTGAATGAAATCAAAAATAATTAGAAGATAATTACGATTATCTTGAACATTTATTACTGATTAAAGGAAGTAAGATCTTGAATTCTGCTCTTTAAATGAATCATATTTCACCCAGAGTTCTGAGTGATAAACTTTGTTATTAAGTTCAGTCATTTTTCAAAAATATTTCTCGAGTAATTTTGGAATTTGCAACAACGCAGTTTCTGATTTTGGCGCAAATAAACGATTATATGATGGATATCAAGGATGACATTTTGATTTCCCACAACTATCATATGATCAACACAAAAGCATGAACTGACTAAGTTCTAACTTTTGGAAATGATCAATTTCAATACATATGAATACAACTGGTTAATAAATACTATTGACAATGATAAAACCAGCGATAGTTGTTTTTACTAATATTCTCACATTTCATCCATTCTGCCTCACATAGATATCATAGACGGAGAGTGAGTCTTTGTTGAAATTACATTTTTTTCTTCTTCTGCTTCATCACATGTTGTCGCCCATCTTGTCTTCTTACTCAAGAGCATCATCGATGAAACGGTTATCTATACCCCGTCCCCTCTACTATCACAAAACAACCTTTTTTTCTCAGTATAGATGATGACTTCTCTCATTCTTCGCTTCTTGACCAAGTAGGCAGAAGGTACGCACCATATACATCACCTTCTATAGTTGTAAACCATTTTACAAAACAGTTCGCTCTTGATAATCGTACATAGTGTCTAGATTTTGTCTAATGAATTAAGCTAGGAGGCAACAGCTATTTTATATTGCTTTCAGGACAATGTTGTTGCAAAGTTATCTATCGAATGTCGGGCATTTTATTTTTTTCTTAGTAAGTCAGATAATGAAATCACAGGTAGCATTGATGAACATCGAATGAACAAGCAGGCGCTAGGAGAGTGAATGAATATGACTCAAGTAGTGTGGTTAGAACAAGAGGACTCCATTAAAAGTACTTGTAGAAATTCAGTCGATTTTGACGAGTACTTTGCTAAAAAATAGTTTTCTATTAGTTTTGATTCCATAGTAGGTCTCGACTTTAAGATTTTAATTTTCACTGTAGGCATGGATATTATAGTCACTTCATAAATAAGTTGCTAGTAGAAAAGCGCTGTGTTGTAAAAGAAAAGAGCAAGCGATAAGGTAGTTTATTAACATGGAAACGTTTCAGGGATCATGTATTACCACTCTGTCACGACTCGGATAGGAACAGTTCTCAGTAGTTTGTTTTGTAGCGCTGATTGCGCTAATAAGTAGTATACTTTACAGTTTCTCTTAAGTCAATCGATACCTTTAGAAAACTCTCTTCTGATTGCACAAACCGTGTCACTGGTAGTTCAGATGGATATCGTAATGCTGCAAATTCGTTTTGTTTCCATCCTGTTAGACTGAAGTCAATCTTATGAAGAAAGCTTTCATCATAATCCGTAGAGGATTAAAATGTGAAACATGATAGATTCATTCTACTTGTAAATAAGAGCCGCGCCAATATCGACCATATTATACGCCAGAATCTGTTTGGCGAGTGATTCACTCTTATCGCTATATTATTCGACACTCATAACCAATCATGTTTCATAAAAGAAAACTTCAATGCATGGTAGGCCTATTTAAGGTTCTTTTCAACTATGAAATTTATGCTTACAAAACTGATATATAGGTCTAGAAAAGAAAATATAATAAAAAAACACTTCAGTTTTTCTCAACTTCAATGGATGAAAATCACTAGTATTTCTCATCACTTACTAAGATATATCTTCAGAGAATTTTTGTTTTTGTAACTGAATTCAACACTTTTCAGGAAACTTAGTAGTTTCATTTTTTAAATATTAGTTTTATGTTCACGTTTCATTTTCTCGTGAGCCTTCGTAGAAGTTCGAAGATTAGATTCATAAATCTAGCACTATAAGATTTTAAAATGTTGCAAAGGACTTTTTTCGATCGTCGTTATTATGGTCATTGTCTCGTTTCTCCTGTCGACATTCTGTATTCTACTCCTACCGAGTTTTATTCACGTGAAACAGACATGTTCCGCACTACAACCACGCCATGTTCGCATCGATCATCACGATGTAGACACTCATCCTGATATCGTTGTTGAGACACCGATTTTTTCCTGGTCGATCGACGATGAAAAGTATTCTTGCAATGGCACTTCACGACGTGGCATCCACCAGACAGCTTATCGGTTGACCATTGTCAGGGAAATCAGTTTCTATTCTTCGACACAGAAATCTTTAGTCATCTATGACTCAGGACGCGTCATATCATCCATATCCACAAATGTTTTATACAGTGGTCCAGCTTTAATATCTGACGCACGGTACATATATTCCATTCAATACTGGTCATCAACTGGTGCAGTCAGTAAACCAGTAAGTGGTCGATTTCGAACCGCTTTATTCCATCCGAAAAATGAATTAACGGCCAATTGGATAGGTTCGCGCCTAATTAACATGAATGAGTTGCGGCGCGAATTTTATATTCCACAAGGCATATTATCTGCTGCCGTATTTATGAGTGGAATGGGATACGGTACATTATATGTTAATGGTATAAACGTTGATCCTTCACGTCGTCTAGATCCTGGATGGACTACATATACGCAACGTGTTCTGTACGTTTCATATGATATTACTCAATTTCTGAAAGGTCATTCCACTAACTGCATTGGTGTACAGTTAGGACTTGGATTTTATACGAACGAACAATGGGGCGGAGGAGTTCCTGCACCAGCACCAGAAGTATTTGGTCCACCGCCAAGACTTCTTTTACAAGTCAATATTGTACTGAGCGATTATACAACGATGAATATTACGTCCGATACAACATGGCTTGGTCGCGAAGGCGCCCATCGTAAAGATAATATGTATATGGGAACAATTTATGATACTCGCGCTGAACGATACAACTGGTCAACTGCTGGTTTTACTGATCCTTACAGTTTATGGCTAAATGCATCTCTAATCGAATCGCCATTGACTTCACCAACCGGTCAATTAACTTATCAGTCCATGGATCCAATACGGATTAGCCCATATGCCCTGCACATTGCTACATCAGCTTCACGAACTGGCTACAAGTCAATGCCACCAGGTGTTATTGGCGGTAATGTAATGGATGGCGGTGTGTTTAACGCTACGCCTTTAGCGAGTCAACAAGTTCCGACATATGATATTTCACAAAATATTGCTGGCTACTGCACGTTGACAATTACAGGTAGAAAAGGAATGACTGTATCATCACGACATGCGGAATTACTAAATAAACCAGGTGTAGATGGAATTAAGTATCAAGGACTTAACTCGGCCAATTATCAAATTATTTCTGCGTCCGATGATTTTATCATTCAAGGTGATCCACATGAAATACTGACACCTCTATTCACTTATCATGGCTTCCGTTATATCTCAGTATATGCTAATTATATTAATATCGAGTCAGTCGTTTGCGCGGCAATACACAGTGAAACAACTCTAATCGGTAATTTTACTTCATCGTCACTCATACTCAATCAAATTCAACACAATATTTTGTGGTCACAACTGAGCAATATAATGTCGATTCTAACAGACTGTAGTCAACGACAGGAGCGAAGAGGATGGCTTGGTGATGCAGCTCTGTCAGTTGATGCTGCATTATTCAACTTTGATTTGTATGGATTATATGTGAATTTTCTACGAAATATTGCAGATGTTCAGCATGAAGATGGATCGATACCTGATACAGCACCATACTCCGTCGGTGGATATGTAGCAGATCCCTCATGGGCACATGCTTATCCAGAAATTACTTGGCGTATCTACCAGCATTACAATGATACAGCCATTGTAAAACAACACTACGCTGGAATTCAAGCATGGGTAGATTATTTGACCAGTCGTGCACAGCAAAGTGGTTTGGCAAATATGTATTTTGCTTATGGTGATTGGGAAACACCGGCTAATTATCCTGTGACGAATAGTTCATTAGTATCTGCATTTTCATATCTGAGTGACGTACAAATAATGATAATTCTGTCAAAAATACTAAATAATCAGACTAATGTTGCCAAATACAGTAAATTGTATGATCAGTTGGCGATAGAATTCCATGAGACATTTTACAATCCGCTCGTCAATGGATATGCAGAAGGATATCAAACGGCGAATGCGATAGCGTTGAAACTACCCAATGTTGTACCTTCAGATCTGCGTGCCTCGGTCATCAAAGCTCTTGTCGATAACATTGCTGCTAATGACAATCATTTGACAACTGGTATTATTGGTACGACTGCACTATTTCCAGTTTTGTCTGACGCCGGTTATCATGATTTAGCAGTGACGGTGGCAACTCAAACAACGTACCCATCCTTCGGTTTCATGTTCAATAATGACGTACAGAATGCCACAACAAACTGGGAAACATTTCATGCTTTGTTAAAAGGTTTTGGTGGTACGGACAGTCTAAACCACCATATGTTTAATGGTATTGGTGCTTGGTTCTATCGATACTTGGCCGGAGTGCAACTGAATGGATTAGCCGACAATCTTATCATTCATCCACGACTGACTCGGCTATTGATAAATGTGGATGCGGAAGTACACACAATCAATGGACCGATTCTTGTTTCATGGCAACGACACAGTGGTGACAATACAGTCACCTACAATGTGACCATACCTAACTCGTTCCACTCTATTATCATATTCGAGCCTATCGAACCAATAGCTCATTGTATATCGATTGAAGAAAGTGGCATATTAATCTGGCATCGATTCTCATCAGTGCTTGAGACAAACATTAGTGGTATTGTATGGCTACGGCCTGACTCGATAGTTGACGGCGCAATGAGCATCCGCATAGAAAGTGGTTCGTATCACTGGAAAGTGCGATGGGGTTAATTGGAAATCAAAGAAGATCAGATTCATAGAAATCCAAACATATTAATTTGATAAAAAGATGCTTCGTTTGTTTAAGTAGAGCTTTAAATGTCATACCCGAATAAAAAAAAACATATATGCATATTATCCAGCTCAACGATGTGTCTGTCGAATACTGCATTTGCGTTCTCAGAACAGCCTTGTCGCATAGAATTTTTCGGCAAAAAAATGATCTTTTTTCATTAGTAGAATCTCTTTCACCTAGAAACACCTTTCCTAGCAGTTTCCTACATAAATAGGTATTTTTCTCTGAGATATTTATATGCAAAAGCATCTCCTTAATATTTAGCCAATCACAGACGAGAGAGAGAGAGAGCAGAGAGAAAAAAATTGAGATAACAAAATCATTCTACTTGAAGATATGTTGATAGATATTACTTTAAGACTGTATTGTGATGGTATCACGATGTGATGAGAGCGATGTACATCGAAATTCTTGATCATAATGATTTTTGTGAAATATTGGTTGTCGATTAGATGATCATATCGAGTTTGATCTTCGAATGAATAAGTATCAACGTGTCATTGATAATGTCGATGGATATAACCATGACGACATCGAATATAAAGGTTATCTAATACTTCTTTAACCTGTTGAATTTTTAAAAAGTAAGCCATGAACAATTTCTTCTTGTAATCATTTCTTTTTTTGGAACAACATGCGCGAGTTGTTCTTCTTTCACTTCCAGTTGACCAATAGTCAATGACTTCGAAATGGAAAAGTTAACAATAGTGCTAGTGTTATGGAGAAGTTGGGCATTCGAGATAAGTTCACAATCGTTCTTTTGATTGATAACGATGATGATGATGATCAAAAATCGAACTATTTAATTGATCATCAACGATATATGATGAGTGAGTTGTAAGGACATTGTATTAATGACGAATATCATCAGACAGTTTAATAACAGCAAGACAGTGACCGACTGCATAATCTGTCATTTGACGTTGATAATCCTTTTCTTTCTGCATTTGATAATGTCGTTTTCAACCAACTAGATCAAAAGGTAGGTATGTGCCAAAAAAACGCTCCAGTCTCAGATCCAGGGTTGGCCCGATTGTGGGTTGTTGAACTTGTGACAACCTTCCAATTATTGAAAATGTTCCTATTTTTGCCAGTTAATAGGTCCAAAAACAAACACGCAGTAGGGATTTTACAATATTTTCCCCTAAAATAGAAAACTAAATTATGTTTTTCCCGAACATACTAATTATAAAAAAAATCAAAACCTTTTCACTTCGCGAAAAAGTAACAGCTGTACAGTCGTAGCTGACGCAAAAAATATCTGGTCTTTAGTTTTGAAGATACGTTGAAATGTCTTTTACGAGTAAGACGCTTCGTTACTGAACAGTAGTCGCGAGAGTGGCCACTTTCGACGGCAAAATTTTGTTAATAAATATCATAACTTGTTTTTGACGATCCTTTAGTTTGCGAGAAGAAATAAGATACTTCTCCAGATTATGCACATACCATCGCTCACGTGCAGTGCAATGTCTATCCAATCAATACATAGGGTATGTGTCATCTGAAGAAGAATTGGAAGCAATACAGAAAAACAAAAGTTTCTGATTAATCTGCTAAAAATTTCCGCTTCACGAAATAGTACTAGTTGCATAAATGTAGTCAGTTTTGATAGACTAAAAATTTATTCTGAAAAATTCTAATTCGATGTGCTTTCTAAAAAGTATGGTTTTGATTAACAGTCGCTAGCTTGAACACTTTCGTCGTCAGAAGCATTGATAAACGCCTTTAAATTTTATATTAAGCCAATTTTCTTCTTCAAAAGATTGGAAGATAAAATCGAGTTGTTTTCATTCTATAAAGTGTCATGGGTCGAACATTTTGCACCGCAAATAGTGAAAAAAAATAACACAAACTCTGTTGTAAAAAATATGATTCCATCTGTTAATCCTAATTATCGTGGAACTTCTCTGCGCATCTTTTTTCTGCTGGTTCACTTTTTCATCCTTACATTCCAATATGCATATCTTCTCTTTTAATATGTGCTTCCTGTATGCGATAATATTAACAGAACTGTAATGATGCGCAGAGAAATAAACAGAATAAACAAGTAGAAACCTGTTATTGTTTTAGATGCGCTACATCCAACAAATTGTTTTTAGAACTCCTCAAAGTTTGAGGAATCGGGTCACCTCTGCTTCAATGCAATAGAATTTCTATCATAAACCCCAGCTTAAATACTCAAAACAAAAATGACAACACATTTTGTACGAAAACTGATAAAGATAATTAAATACAATCTTTTGTATATAGGCAAAATGAACAATCAAAGTAATTCTTTTAGTTCGAAATCTTTATATGGAATTTCTAGTGAACTGGTTTTTGCGAATGTCAATATTCAGCTTTTCAATGTGTCGTTTGCTGACATCATTAGAACACCTATATATACTCTGACTATAAATAACACTTTCATATAGTTATCACATCTAGATCGTTGAAGACAGTCATACGAAAGTCTATTGATGCTCTTGTTATTAAATGACGTAACACTTTCATATGATTATTTTTTTTTATCTAGAAAATTATCGAAAAAAGCACTTTTTCTTTTGCTGAATAAAGATGTCGATTAACACCACTCTATCAGTCAATCTTGACGAATTTGTCCGATTGAACCATGTATCTCAGCGGATTTATCGTAAGTATACGGTTCCTTTCGTTATCTTGGATATACTTGGTCATTTCTTAGCATTGCTACTTTGCTGTGTCCGATGGAAGAATCGAATGTCAATTTACATATATTTTATGATGTTGTGCTTCGTCAACATATGCATTGTTGTCATAAATATAGAATATCATTTTCTTTTTCCTTATTCAATCAATCATCAATTGATAGTCAATAGCATACGACCGATCTCACGTAAATTCATAATTCTGTGTCAATGATTTCTTCCACTGTGTAGTTATCTAGCTTATGGTAGACTCAGTATAGTAATCAGAAGATGTGAAGAATTTTTTTGATACTTTTCAAAGCATAAACTATTAACTGGATATAAGCTTTATAATGTCAAGAAGATAGAAAAAATAGTATCGTTGTCTCGAAAAGATCAAGTCTAAGTTAAAAATATGACGAATGATAGCTAAGCTTTGAATAGGAGTCTTTAAAATCATCATTAATACGAATTGTAAGTATATCTCATTGTATCAGTCATTCTCTTTTATTGGCATCGATTACTGTGCGTTGACGTCATTCTCACTGGCCTGACTCTTCTTTAGAATGGTACCCTAGTGAATGTACTGAGCTAAGGGTACCCGAAAAAGTACCCTGCTACTAGTATGTCACAGGAACTTTCGGGTACTGAAGTACCTTAAAGTACTTTTAGGTACCTATAAGGTACTCGACCAAGTATCCTGCTGGAAAGCATCCAGTAAATGGGTACTTGAAGGTACTGATCAAGTACCCAACTGGGTACTATTGTTCAGTAATTTTGGGTACCCTGTTGCCAAACTTGCAGTATGCTGATGATCGAAACTGACCTCTGGCTTTTTTTCATTTTTTGTTTCTCTCAAAGCAATTTATGATATTTTCTCGATTTTATTTTATTTTATTTTTCTAATTCTGAAAAGCCAAGCAGGTCAAATTTCGAGATCTGACTGGACACGAATTGGTCGGATCTCCATCAGACCACTTCAAGGTAGTCCTCTCTCAATCTACGATTGAGATCAGCATGTCCTCGACTAGTAAATAGTCAACAAAAATAATCTAGAAAAAATTAGTATGAAAAAATATTTTTTTCTTATGCTTCCTCGAGTTGCTTATATGAAGCCATATATGCAAAAGAAAACGATGAATGAACAGTTGCTACACAGAACGCAACAAATCTAGGGTACCCTGTAGAGCTTTTCCTGGTAAAATTACAGGTGCGGGTACTCATGCAAGTACTTGTTCAGTAAACATACTGCAATGGGTACCCAATGCAGCATCTACGTCAGTATAATTACTGAAAATTTTCGAAGTACCCATATCGGGTACCCTGCTGAGGCTCTCTCGGTGCATGGGTACCCTGAACTCAGTACTTTCTCTAGGGTAGAAATCAACTATTCAAAAAGATATATTTACGTGTTGCAGGTCATGTTTTTATCAAATACTTTTCGTTTCTTAAATTTTGAGCGACACTATCAATGCATCAAATCCGTTAGAATAGAACTTGTTCGACCTTTTCTCTTTTAATAATAGTAGAAATGTTAACAAAACACGGCTTCTGGATTAACTATTAGATTAACATTGAAAATTACGACAGTAGATAGGTATTGACACAAGAGAAAATGGTACACTCAAAGCAAAGATCAATCAATGCAATCTTTGTGCGTGCAAATAAAGACAAAATCAATAGATAAAAGTTATTATACCTCGCCTTTACGACAACATGCCTACAAGAGACGAATAATAACGATATCGTTGCTGTCGCAAAAACTCTGTATAAATTATTGTCTTAATCTAGTATAGAAAAGAAGTTGTCATCCAGACACACAGATTTAATTAAAACGATTGATAATATATACTTTCTGGTAATTGAATAGATGATGACCATGCCAGTAGTAGCTTGGTTAAAGCAACGCTGGCGTTTGCTATTAATTATTCTAACACCATTGATCCTGCTTCCACTACCTATTATTATCAATAATTCCGTATGTTAATTAGTGTGTGTTGTTCAACCTAAACTATGTCTACACTCGTGCTTTTTTTTTTATAGCAAGGGCGATGTGGTTATATTGTGGTCATTCTCTCTGTGTACTGGATTTCGGAAGCAATACCTTTAGCAGTTACTTCATTATTGCCACTTATCCTCTTTCCGATGGTAAACAAAACGTGTTCAGCAAAATCTTTATAGCTAGTATTTAAATGTGAAACAGGATTATATTATTTTAATTGTAATGAAGAAATCTTGCTTAATCTATCTGAGTCTTTAACAGTACTTTCAAAGTATCATGTCGAGATGTTTTTCATGTTCTTTAGGGCTGAACAGTAGTAACTCACTAAAAGTCATGTTTCATAAAAGCAGGATATCTTAATCGATTTGCAATATCGACATTTTTCCTCTAGGCTGGTGTTCTAACTGCGGAGGACGTGGCACCTCACTATTTCAACGACATCATTGTGCTTTTTTTCGGTAGTTTGGCATTTGGTTGTGCTGTCGAAACGGTCAACCTTCATCATCGTATTGCTCTATTGGTATTGAGTTGGGTTGGCACGACAACTAAATGGTATAGGATAGTTTGATCAATTCATTCAGCGATGATCAACTGACAGGTTTCGGAGACTGTTCCTAAAAGCAAACTATATTTTTCATATTCTGTTGATTTCTTATTCTCGAATTTTTCAAGTTCACTCGACCCTTAGATATTGAATTCTTCTAATGAATAATTAGGATCATGGCTGGTATGATGGGAACAACGGCGTTTCTTTCAATGTGGATGAACAATACTGCATCGACATCAATTATGTTGCCTGTAGTATTAGCTATTGTTCATGAACTCGATGTTTTCAGCGAAAATTCTCTCGATAGCCAACAAGACAATATACAGACAACAGTTAATATAAATGGTAATAGGACACTCAATAGTTATTTATCGTTCTCTTTGTATGTAACCGTGTTTAGGTGCATTTGATTCCACAAATACGGAAGGAGCTGATGAAAATAAAACCGGCCAGATCGCTCATACTACTCAAAACATCGAACTAGTGTAGATATACGAAATTAAACATTCTCGTAATGTATGGCTTTCTTTTCTGTTCATAGAAAACCAGAGACATCTGTAGTAGTAAATACTCGCTTGAAATTACTATGCTGTAAACGACAAAAAGTTGAACATAGCAATACGTACAAGAAACAACATGATGAACTGAAGAAAGGTGATTCTCTTCCTAACTCCTGACTTAGTGTGTTGTCTCTACTTCGATGCACATTTCTATCTAGGGTTTCTTCTTGCCATAGCCTATTCATCATCTATTGGCGGACTATCCAGTTTAGTTGGTACTGCACCCAATATTTATCTCAAAGGTTTCGTAGACAGGTAAATCAAGAGAATCGAAATAATAATTGATTATGCTTCATGTAACATAGTGAATACAATGGTACTGGTTTTCGCGTAAACTTCCTCAATTTTCTACTCTTTGCTCTACCGACTGGAATATTAATGCTTGTAGTCTGTTGGATATGGTTACAGCTGTGCTATAATAAAAAAGAGTACGTGTCTATAATTTGTGATATTGTATATTCTGTCTGATTGAAAAAAAAAACATTGACTCATCTAATTATTTATAGACTCTTTCAATGTCACTATTCTGCTGAAAGACATAAAGCTCAGATTAAATTGAAGGCAATATTAACGAAACAGTATAAAGATCTTGGACGACCAAAGTGAATCATTCGAAAAAAAAGAAGAGTTTCTACGTACACATGTTTCTATTCTACTTTATAGATGGAGTGAACTCGTAGTAGCTGGTATATTCGTTCTGTTGATTGTTCTATGGATAACAAGAGAGTTTTCCAGTAGAACAGGATGGAGTATGATATTTCAGCGTAAGTATGTACCTCATTCTTTTTGCAAAGAAAATCAAATTTAAGAAGACCATGATTTTTTTGTCTAGGCACATTAGTGATGGTACTGTAGCTATTTTCTGTGGAATACTTCCATTAATTTTACCAGCCAGCAATCCATTTAATCGTAGGATATTTTTACGGTTGTTAATTAAAATATATGTATACTGATGAATGCTTTCCTTCGTAAGGACGGCATGATTGGAAATACGAGCCAATTGTCAAATGGAATGATTTGGCACATCATGTTTCATGGGGTGCACTAATCCTACTTGGTGCTGGTCTTGCGTTAGCCTCTGCGTTTCAAGTACGTTGAAGTAAAGACAATCGTATAATATGCATATGCCATTGAATTTTAAGAAATCAAAATTATCGGATAGTGTGGCGCAAGCCCTTGGTTTTGTGTCCCATATACCGCGAGCTGCTGCTATTATGATCATAGTTGTGATTAGCGGCTTCTTCACCGAAGTGACATCGAATACAAGCACGGCAACCATCTTTTTCCCCGTACTCAATTCTGTGGTAGGTGACATACTCACTTATTCCTGCCAAATTAATGTGGACTTTGAAATTAAAATATATTTTCTATCAAAAACTATGCGTATCAGAGCCAGTTTTTTTCAAATACCAAAATATTAGCCTTTTTTAACCTAGTTGAGGGCATTGATATTAAATTTTTTCTATTCGCACACTATATTTAAATGATAGGCAACTTCGTCTGGCATACATCCAGCTTTTCTCCTCCTTCCATGCACATTGGCTGTCTCTCTTGCATTTATGTTGCCCATAGGTGAGTATTGACATGAGATGCTATAAGACAATGTTCAGTCTTTATTTCATACAGCTACACCACCAAATTCCATCGTTTTTGCTAGCGGTGCACTTCGAGTCATCGATATGGTAAGTTTGATATTGTTTTCAATCGCATATTCAACTCGATTGAAAATCTCTAGATCAAAACTGGCATAGTAATGAATCTTGTTGGCTTTTTGGTCATCTTTTTGGCTGCCAATACTTGGATGCCAAAAATATTCGACATAAACGACCAGACAACGACAGTTTTCTTCAATACGAGCTCATTCGTTCAGAATCCTACTCCCAGTATTTAGTTCTACCGTTAGGTAGTGGTATATATTCTTCGCTTTACTGCTTTTATTGTTCTCTTTCTTTCGTAAACTTATATATTATTCTCGTTCATGGATTATTTCTTTCATTCTCTTCGTTGGACTTCTTGTTATTCATCATCTATGGGATTTTCCAACCTATGGATCTTTCCCTTCGTTATTGCCTATATATAGGTATCATTAGATTTTGAATAAAGGAGAAGGAGAATGAAGATTACACCTAATATCTATCTCCATAAAATAGACTACATGTAAACTGCACATTAACTTGTGATATATATTGACTTTGATTTCGCGATAAAACTATGTCTTTATTTGTTTTGATAGATCAGAAAAGAATATGAAGACTTCATCAGACAATATAAAAAAAACTAATAGAAATGGGTGTCAATGTGGATGTGGAGAAAGGAAATATCCATACCCATAGCCTCAAACAACTAAACTGTTCGATTGAAAAGAACAATCGCAACAAATCCGATTGATTCGGTGTTTCCATTTTATCTGACAGGATTATCGAGATCACTTGGTCGAACCAAATAACGACACACAAGATCAAAATGAGATTTAAGTACCGATTCGGACTTAATTGAATAATTCTTATAGTTTAATATAACATTATCTAAATAGCCATTCATGTTATGAAACGATTATAGAATTTAATGAGTCCATAATTAATCAATGGTTATATGGAACATTTCGATCGGAAACTGATCAAGAAAGAAAAGCATGATTATCTAGAGAGTAGGAGGCATATGCCTGTCTGGTTATTGATACTACCTGTACCTCTACACTCATCCTCTTGAGAATGACATAGCTAATGTATTGTGAATGATGTAAATGGTTCTTTCAAACCATTTAACCAACGAATTGAATGTATATTCAAAAACTTTTCTCTTCTGCTTTTATTGATTACTGTGAAAACGATATTACGAACTCCATTATGATTCATTATTACAATATGGTTCTTTTTCCATTATATAGAGATATTCATGTATCGAGACTCAACTTGTTAACACATAGGACGAAAATATACGAATCATATTCAATATATATGCGATCGTGTTTGTTTTTGTTAGTTTGGGTGACAGTCGAAGATTGTTTCATAGAGCATGTCAAAGAATGAAATCGTTTTTGATAGAGGACGTGAAAAATAATTGAATTTGGATGCCTGACACAAAACAGAAACATGATGTATTTCGGCCTTTTCGACTTTGAAAGAGACCTATTTCATCAATGCTAAACGATGTACTTTCAGGATTGGTCGTAGTTATCAAAGGCTTATACAAATTGATGGTTACCTCCAGAAAAATCCGGCAACGTAACTAAATAATTGAGCACATGTTCAATTTTCACATATTGAACACTAGTTTTTGCAAGAAAGTTAACAATTTAGTGCATCAAGAGCCTCAATTGTGCACTTTACTTATCGAATACGAATTTCAATATTTAAACTAACTAGCCCTGAAAATTTTCTCCATATTCATCACAATAATATCATTGATAAAGTTTGTTGTAATTTCTTCTTTCTATTCACTTATGTGACAAATAAAAATTACCTTGGAACATACTAAACATATAGTTTTCATATTTGACAACAGGTAAAATTGTCTTTAGTGAGATCAACAATAGCATTTCATAGTAGTATTTATTTACATTATCTGTATATGAAAAAAAATTTTCACTAACTAAAAACTTAGTGCATGTAAATGAACTAAAGCGGAACTATTTCAAATTTTTATTACAACGTTATTGATGATCTACTTTGTAGATGAAACAAATTAGATATTCTTATCGTTCATCTCTTGATAATCGGAAAGGTTATCTAGGTTTTTTTTTCTATTTGATTATCCAACAAGTAATTGTTCGACTAATGATTAATTGTTTTATTTTGGAGATTCTTGTTATTTTATTAGGATTAAATATGCATATTTTCTCATATTATAAAAGTCACATAAACTGAATTGTATTTACTTGTTTTCAATCAAATAGAAATCTTTTATCTTTTTTGTTTTTACTAAAAGCATCCTATAAAGATAAACTTGTACAATCACTCAGAAATGAATGAATTAATTTATCAAAAATCATATCGTTTAAATTGACAAATGTTGTCTAATTTTTATTCATGTAGCTGTGATAATATATTTAGATTGTTAATAGGAATTCATTAGTGAAGAAATAGAATGAAAATCAAAGATTGACTTTCATCTTGTTTTGACAATAAATTTCTTATTTTATTATGCACTTGATTCAAGGCAAAAAATAAACTACAAATCATAGATATTGATCAATCCTGATTTAATGTCTTTGTAATTATGGATACTCTTTACCATCTAGAGATCTTTCTAGATTAGTTGATTTTGAACGAACAGAATTAAGACGACTTGCTCGACTCAAACTAGCCGATTTTGTTGACTAAAATAGAAGAAGAAAATTAATGAGTTGTTTTGTTTTGATTTTTTTTTCTTTAATAATGATCAAGCGAGAAATATTATGGTGCATTCGATTTTATGTGTCAAAGAATGAAATAAGAAATGTGTATATCAGTGTAAATAAGTGCATAACTAAAGGTTAATATCTTCTAACCGGTCTCAATGAATCGAGTCCCATTGTTGAATAAACATACGTGTCATGTGCATTGATAGCACCTGATCGAAGTTTATCAAATAATCTAGTGAGTTTTCGATTTAAATCTTCAATTTCTTTTTTTCTTGGATCAATTTCTTCTTGATCAACATTTAATGAATGTTTTGGTTTAAGTATACGTCGTTCAATTAATTGAATAATATCAAAACGACGAATTTGTTGAAGTCCATGTATAAGATCATCAACTTTAGCACGTGTATGAAAACGTCGCCATTTATTTAATGCGTCGATTGCTTGATCCTAGATAAAATTTATATGATCAATAAATATAAATTAATATTTACTTGAAAAACATCTCCACGTTGATATTTTTCATCAATATATTTTATATCTTTGGATATTTCTTCTTGACCACGTGTAGGATAAAATGGTAATTGCCAATAGAATCGATTCCAATCACGACTAATATATTTTGATATAAGACGTATTGCTTTGGAAAGATCATCTTAAAGAAAGTAATATTTTTTTTTTGTTATTTATTTAAATTCAATTGTTGATAAGAATTTTCAAAAACAAAAAAGAGTCTGTACAATCGATTTTTTATTTTATTGGATCTAGACTTGCAGAATCAATATATTTAAGATTATTTTTTTTTTTTGATTGATAGGAAAGTTAATTCATACGAAGTTGTTATTCGAAAAGTAGCTATTCTTAATTCAGTATTCTCATCTCCATCATGTTCCTCGAAGCTAAAACATTTATTGCTGAGTAGATATGATTGTAGGCAAGCGATTGCCTACGATCATCTATCCATTAATATATGTACTTCATGGGACACTCCAAAAGTTTTTTCGCTAGGGTCTTCTAAAACTCATAATTTGAGTCTAATTATTCTATTATAATATATATTGGCATATTAAGGATTGCATGCAAAATTTCAACCTTTTAGATCTTATGAGTCGTTATATTTTCTCATTTCTTTCACAGTAGTCACATACTATTTTTCGATCTGAATTTAGACTTTCACACGAACAATTTCGCACTATGACTTTACAAGAAAGTATAAGTTTTTATGATAACGAGAAAATTCAATATAGGATAAAACTATCTGTCTCACGAGGGTTCTGACCCAACTGACGTTCCTTATTCGTGAGTAAAAAATAGAACATTTTGTGGAGTCTGATACTTACTGCGAGAGTTCAAATTCAGATCGAAAAATGGTATGTGTGACTACTGTGAAAGAAATGAGAAAATATAACGATTGATAAGAGCTGAAAGGCTGAAATTTTGCATACAATCCTAAATATTTCTATGCACTACACAATGACATACATTTGCTGCTCTAATTTATTCTCGCTATAGATTTTCTGAACACGGACAATAGATTGATAGTAATACATGAGAAGAATTTTGTGTTATGTCAACCTTATGTCTAGAATAGAGATATGTGACTCTATCGACCAATCAGATTCATTTTTAATCATACAATTCTTCAAAACTTGAAATTTACAACAATTGAAAGAGATTTTGAAATCATTTTATTTCTAATCTTACCATCTTCATTTTCTCCGTAATGTTTTATATGAACTGGTAAATCATAAAAAATTTTTTGTGGTAAATCATTTGTTTTTCGACATTTATAAATATTACGTATAATATCACGACAATTTTGTATACGATTAAAATAATTTTCTTTAAGAATTTTATCTTCTAATACTAATTGTATTTCATTTCCAAGTTTTTTATTTTCATGACGCATTTCTATTAATTCATCTTTACGTTGTTCAAAATAATTTATACGTGCTTGAAAAGAATCAATATTTGATTTTAATTTAGGTAATTCTCTGGATAATTGTTTTATATCTAATTGAAATTGTTCAATTACAACACGATTATCAATATCATCTTGTATTTCATGAGATAGTTGAAGATATTTTTTAAGTTGTTCTTCATATACTTCATATGTTAAACGTTTTGAAATATATTCACGTTCTTTTATATTAAGACGTGTTTCAAATTCTTCATATTTTTTTTCATTGATCTCATTTTCTTGTTCAAGTTTATTTAATTGGAAACGATGTGATTCAGCCTTGGAAAAAGAAAATGCTTATTAATTATTTTCTTCTTTTTTCTTTTAAATTTTTATATAAATGCAATACCTTTCGTTCAATTTGACTTAATTGAGATTTATTAATTTCAAAAGCTTTTTTTGCTTCAAAATATTTTTCTTCAAGTAATTTAAGTGATCTAAACGAAATTTCCTTTTTTTTTTTCGTTTTTTTTTTGTAAATCAAAAACTTACGTTTGAATAAAACCATTATATTTTGTATCTTCATTTAACCATGTACGAAGTGAATCTAAAGCTCGTCGTGCTTCATAATAACATTCAGGTAAAACAAATAAATATGAAAGTGATGTACAATCACAACGAAGAGCTAATTCTTGAGTTTCTTTTGATAATGTTAAAAGTGAAACACCTTTTGTATCTTCAGCACGTTGTGACATTTCACGTAAAATTTTTAAAGATTTATTTACTTCATACATATGTAACCAACGAGATTTTTCATAAGTATATGCTGTTTCAAGATATTCATCCTAAGTATTCAAAAAAAAAAACAAAACGAGCAGTTTTTTTAAAATATTTATTACTTTGTAATATAAATAATTATAAAATCGAAAATGAGATACTGAACTATATTATATTATAGATTCTATTAAGATGTTTTCTGAAGTTTTTTTAATCAAATTTATAAAAAAAAGAAATGGCTTCTTTTAACATAAGAAAAAAGCAAAAATGTGGTTTTTTTGCGATGCAATTGCTTAAAAAATCAGCCGAGAATTTCGATTAGAATACTTATAATTGCTGAATAGCTAAGTTTAAAAATCTGAGGCTTGTGTAGTTCTATAGATCGTCCATGAGCGGTTCGGACACACACCGGATAACTGATAATTCACGATAGTCAGTACGTTAGTTTTCAAACAGGTTGATTGAAAATCTTTAAAAAATCTTGTAATATACTATTCGATGTATCTTCATCTCCTCT